ACGGAGCAGCTCCAATCGGTCGGTACAGTTTTCTGCTCTGCGCAGTTTTACTAGTAACTCGTGTAAATCATCCACAAGAGCAGGTCTTTTGAATTTGAAGGAGGCTGGATGAAGAGCATCTGGTTCCGCGACTTTATTCAACTTCAGTAGTCTGATCTCACGTTCGACTTCTGAGCGAGAGGGTGGATCCAGAGGGACAGCCGAGGGAGCGGGGCGATCAGTGGCCGGCAATAAATCTAACAATTCCGACCGATTAAATTGCCTTTCAAACTGCTCAGCCCAGCGCTCTTAGCGTTTTTACTAGTGTTGGATAGGCTGTCCACTCTCGTCGCGTGTAGTTTCACTAACTCCAGGTCTTCTGCTGCCCGTTTCCCGTATCAGACGGAATAACTTACGATGGTTACCAAGGCAGCGGCCATTTCCATCTCTGATGCACGATGAGACCACCAGGATTCGTGGTCTCTCTTCAGGCTAGCACGGAGTTTTGCCGGAGCTCTTTGCGAGTTTCATTGTGTTCGCTTCCAGCCGGAATATGCCGGCGAGCATCTATAAGTTCCAGAGACTGTGAAGAGACCCAATGTCCATGTTGGCGATTAGACATACCACATGAGGATTTGCCTGCTGCTAGTAAGGTCTGGTGAATATGAGACCAGTGACCTTCAATTGCATCCAGTGAGCGCTTATCCAACTCGCATGACAGCGTACTTTGATAGGCATTCAGAACAGCTGGCTTCGCCAGTTGGCTGGTGTCAATGCGGTCTCAAAGTCATCGTGGGTGTCTGACAAAGCACATCCGCAGCTCAGCACATACAAGTGCATGGTCGGTGTCTGCATATGTGCTCCAAATCGAGCGACATTTTCGGCATCGCAGCCTCTCCATCGGTAGCTTCACTCGCGAATGTGATCGACTTGCGATCCAATAGCTGGTTCGAGGCTGTGGGAGCCAAGTCACCCTCCGGCGGGTGCTATGTCGGAATTAGTGCTCGCCAGAAATAAGCGAGCATCCACACACCAATAAGAGTAAACGATCACCGTTATCATTACGGGAGACTACACCATGTTGACCGCCCAGATGTAGTTCATCCTTGGACAAGTTTTCAACTAGGGCGTTCAGGTCTCCAGCCCAGCAACACTAGTGTCCGAGCTCCTTCTGTGGCCTAGGAACTCGTTCAATTGGCGATAGTAGTCGGCTTTTACTGAATCATCGCACCTGGTCGAAAGAGATTGCCACTCGTCTCTTCACATCCATTGTACGAACGGTGCTAGAATACGGCTCACCCGCCTACTGTCCGTTGATGAAAGGCGAGATAACAAGGCTCGAAAGAGTACAACACATAGCCCCAACGGCTCATTCCCGGTCTTCAGGGTGTGCCGTATGAAGAAAGATGCAGACAATTGGGTCTGTATACTCTAGCCTACCGCCGCGTGCGAGTGGACCTCATCATGACCCATCGGGTATTGCATCTGGGTGCTTATCCGATGCTGAGGCCACTGCTCCATGTCCGTGCGTCAAGCAGCACACGAGGTCACCAGTACAAACTGGTAGTCCCTGACCTCAAGTGGGTAGCTCATCCCTTGTGTCTTGAGCGGCGAGTGGTGAACATGTGGAACCGTTTGCCCTCGCGGATAGTAGAAGCGAACTCGGTGTCGGAATTCAAACGATTCCTGGACGCGCACTTTGCGGATGCCAGATTCGACGAAGCCTTCACAGGAAACTGACGAAGGAATCGTTCAATGATTATAACCCATGGAGCCCGTTAATCCACCAACTGCAGCTTCCGAAACGATGCCCATCCGTAATAGGCGGCGGAGCTGGTGAAGGACTCCACGGGGTTCATCCAACGAATATATCGTAAGTACATGGAGGTTTTTTTCTATGCTTGTAAATATTTTAACGTTTTTCACCTGGGCTAGCTCACTACTACAGGTAACACTCGTGTCAGTGGGACATGTCCTACATTGAGATATAGCTACATAGATGTCTCAACCTCTTTCTCGCTATCATGACAGTAAAGTTAAAGTTTGTGGTGTATAAGGCAGCGATGACGAATAAACACCTGTTGGTCCCGCGTGACTTCGATGCCATGAATAAGCCAGCCAATCGGACAACACACATCCGGCTACTGATTGGAATCCAGTCAACCAGAGCAGCTTCAGCCCGGGGACTCAGGCCAATACCAACACCTGCTTGGCCCGTGCACGAAGCTGCATCGTCACCGGATAGGCGCAAGGAGAAAGTGTCACTGGTGTCACCTGAAGGGGATCGTAAAGTTGAGCCAGAGCTCGATTCTTGCAGGCGGGTCTCCGATAAACAACAGATATCGATCAAAAGGACCTTTAATGTTCGAGCAAGTGCCGCCTGTTGAGCGAGCTGTAACAATGTGCGTACACTGCCTCATGCCAATCTGAAAAATGATCGTGGGCTCCAAATGGAAGTCGATGAACTGGGCTTGGCCGCTTGGTTGGACATGGGCTTGTCGACAGGACAGGAATGACGCTCCGCGTTCACATGCGAGTTGAAACTAGAAGGTGAAGCTTAGCAAAACAAGGTGGGGTAGGGCCAAGAATTGGGGGTTGAAGACGGGGATAAAAGTGAAGTTGGAACGGGACGGTAAGAGAAAAAGCGTAAGAGGGGAATAAGAAGATGGAAAGGCTTGAGCAGTAGCATCCAAACCCCTATCCACCCTGCTCGATGCAGCAGATAGGGCACCGTTGATTATCCTCTGCGGTGGCCAGAGCACCAAGAAACTGTTTGAAGAGAAATTTGTTGCATTGCGTGGGCAGGATACTGTCAGGTTGCCCAGGCCTACATAGGAGAACGATTAAGGTTCTCAACCAAAGCCTTTGGTTCAAAAACCTGACCGCAAGGCAGCGGGTTTGGCGTTGGGCTACAAGGAGCCCGTTTTAAGGAATAAGGAGCCACCTCATTTCAACCCCCAACCTGGAGGCTGAGTATGTCTGGCCTCTAACCACTGACCAATCTGGTGAGTGGCTCTGAAGGTGCAAAAAAACACCACCCAGCATAGCTCAATGGATCGCTGAGGCACACAAACCTTCGCACCACGGTAAGGTCCAGCCTCATTGCGAAGAACTGGATAACCGAGAGGTCGGTGAACCTGTTGGAATCCGGCATTTAAAGCCGCATTATCTCCGGATAGACGAAATGAGAAAGTACCACCAGTCTCACATGAAGGTGAGCAGAGGGTTGGAGTCTTGCAGGTGGGTTTCTGAAAAGTGGTAGATAGCGATGGAAAGCTCTAGTGTACAAGTCAAGACAAATCAAAAAAGATTATGTCCAGATGGGCACATTTTCCGCACTGCAATATCAGATAAAAATGGGCTAGAATTATATTATCAGAACTGCAAACATTTATGAATGGAAAAAGAACACTATGTACAGGTATCAATTGAATAATAGTCAGTATAAACGAGCAATAACTAAACATTTCTGGACAGAATAATTTATAGCTGCATCCTGTTAATAGGACGACGTTCCAACTAGGACAGTCCAACTTCAAGTTTTCCTCAAAAAGTAAACGAAGGGCAGCCGTGGTGATCTTGGATATAGTTTGGGAAAGGTTAATGTCGAAATATTCCGAAAAAACTACTGTATCCGGGGCAGCAGCCGATTTAAAGGCCCCGCACGTTTCGAGCAAGTGCTGCCTGTTGGCCAATCGGTAACAAAGTGCGTACATTTGAGGCATGGTAGTCTTAGCTAGGATCGATGGTTCCAAATAGAAACGGATGA